AGTTCTAATCTAATTAAAATTGGAAAATAATAATAATAATAATAAATTCTTTCAACTCGCCCTTGCAGGAACAAAGAGACGATTAAAATATCAGAAGACAAAACTCTAATAAGCGAATAAAAATAGAAATATTCTAAATTGATTCCATAACCACTACAATTCACTCTCGATAGGAATACCCCAATGCGTCCAGAACCCAAAATACCAAGGGTGTAGGGCATCGATTAAGTACTTACATCTATTACAAATATGCTCAATTAGAAGAGACTAGATTCATGTTTTTTAGGCCAATTATTGATGCTATAAGAAAGTTCAAAGAAGGTCGAGAATAATGGCCACAATATACAATAAACAGGCTACCCATGCAAAATACTTGAGCTCTTCTCACTGGGACGGTGAGGAAGACCTGGAACTGACAGATCTTGAAACAGATCTGGAACTTGGGCTCACACTTCGACTTTGAGTATAACTGTCAGGAGATTTATCATGCCTGGATGATCTTCCAGGAGATATGCTCTTCCTTGGTGGTGGCGAGACACTCCTTGAGTAGCTCCTCCTTGAGCTCCCGTGCCTGGGAGATACACTGCGCAAGTAGTTTCGCCTTGAATTGTGACACCTTGGGCTAAGGCTCCGCGAATAGCTCCTCCTTGCCCGTGGTATAGGACTCCGAGATATAGACCGGTTGCGATGTCTTCCGTAGTAGTGATAATCTGGTGAGTCATAGGGAGAGTAGGACCTATCACGCCGTCTATAGTATCGGCTATCTGGTGACCTACTATAAGGTGAACGAGACCGTGAGTATGATCTGCGTCGTCTATAATAAGGAGAGTAAGATCTCCGCCTGCTGCGATATGGAGAGTAGGATCTCTGCCTGCGATAGTAAGGCGAGTAAGATAGGCTCCTGCTTCGCTCAGATGAATAACCAGGTGAGCGGCTTAGACTCCTATAAGGGGAATAACTAGGAGACCGACGGGGAGAATAGCTACGTGAATGATGACGAACTACATCATGAGAAGAAAAATAGTCAGTACAAAGTTTTATACACAAATTCATCACGAAACTGAATGAAAATTTATCTTACCACGAACTGTCCTCAGGCCCAAATACCTTCCTGGAGTTGGAGTTCTTCCTCTGCGTCTTCTAGCCTGCAATAAGTTACCTCGAAAGCATTAGATAATTGAACAAATGAACAAGTAAGAGATAATAAACTGTTTTTAAAATAGGGAAAGGGGTATTTATTTATTGCATAATCAAATTCACCTCATTAGCAAATAATAACTAAATCAATAACCAGAAGAGCACAATATTTAATTGCTAGAAAAAGAGAGAATGCAGGGCATACAACCCTAACAGTCTGATACTTGTTGGTGTGTTTGATTTGTTTGTTAAGTTGTAAGGCTTTTGGAGTTTGACGAAGAGCTGCTACACACAGCTAACCTGCTGTCACAAAAACTTCAAGCGGAAAGAAGCAAACAACTTTCAAACTTCATCGAACTAACATCAAACTATCCATAATTTTGATATGATATTCAGTATCAATGATTAGTAAACAGCTAAAGATAAAAAGGAAACTTAAAACATTTACCTTCTCCACTGTAATGACACGGCCCTCAAGAACAGAGCGATTCAGATGCTTAA